TATATATATATATATATATATATATATATATAGTTATTTGACACAGTAGTTTGTCTTGAAAGAGTCCTGTTGTCTTGTCTTATTTTATTTTTAACTCAACCTAAACTCTTCACTAAACAAAGTTCATAATTATTTTGTGTTTTGTTTCCAGATTACATTAATTCTGCTTAAAGTGCACAAAATTAACACTTTCACACGAATAGGATCAGATTCTGGTTTGCACTCATCATTGCACTACTTAGAACAGAGTGGCTACATCTACACGAGATGTAGTCATTTTGTACTTGTGTATACTTGACAAGTACCAAATGGCTTTTAGGTGACGCTGACTGTGCAGTAGCTAGTTACTGACATAGCTCACGGGTCCTCACTGAACCACATCCCTGTCCCACTGTTCAAATCCTGCGTTGCCACAGGATCTTAACATTTTCTAAGTGTTTTAAGTATGAGCAGTTTCCATGATGTTCTAACAAATGCCACAGCTGGGAGAATCACAGAGCCCTAACTGGCTCCTCTGAGATCTCCTGTCCTCTCCCCTGAGCAGCTGCAGTGGAAAATCTGCCCATTATATTCAGTCACATAAATAGGCCCATTGATTTCTGTGGGACTACTTGTGTGAGTAAAGATAACTCCCAAGAAAGAGACTTGGCAGGATTGGACCATCTATTTCATTTTTGTCAACCCTGAACATTCACAGATCATGAGCCAGGGCCTCCAGAAACCATTAAAATGATTTGATAGTAAATAGCTTAAATTTCATGAGACTTTAATAAGAAATGTGTTATTTTTATCTTTTGTTGTTTGAAGGTGTAGTGTTTATGTATTTAAGATTTCTAGCCATTATTCTAATGCAAGAAGTGTGCTCAAAAAATGATAGCTTTAATTCACACTTGACCCCGAGAGCTGAGGCCTTTATGAGAAACACCAGATATTAATCGCATGATAAAAATCTTGGTTGCTGGCAACACTTAATTTGTATAGCTGTTTTGGTTTAATCCTTTCCTAAAACAAAATTCCAACTTTATTTCAGTCAATGTGCTGTAGCTCTGAAAAATGTGATGCATTTCAGAAGCTTATAAGCATTATTTAAAAGCATAGAATGCTGCCATCCTTCCATGATTGCATATCTCTAGATCCATGTTCTTTCTCTGCATTTGCTTGTGGCTTCCCCAATGTAGGCAATAGTTTAATTTCTCAATTTTTTTTTATTACTGTAAAATGGGCAAATCTTCACTGGCTACAATCTTAGACCAGATCTTGCATTAATTTCATGAACATAAACCATGGCTGACCCTCAGTTGAGAGAGCTTATATGTCTGAGGATACTTGGATGGGTAGCCATCAAGAAGCTGTCTGCATGACTCTTTGCTTTTCAGTTTGCAGACAAGGTTCTTTTGGGTAGATATAATATCTTTTACTAGACCAGCTAAATAATAAAAGATATCACATCTGCCCAAAGAACCTTGTCTATATATGTCCTTAGACCAACATAACTGTAACCAACAACCTACTTTTCAATTTTACTTTTCAGTTAGATTATAGACCTTATAGATCCCAAAATCCTGCACCTGGGTCCCACTCTCAGTGCTTTTTAGAATACCTAGACTGTTAAACCAAAGCTGCCTAGTCCAAAAAGTTTCGGAACCCCTGATCTAAAACATTCATCTAGCCATGAGAATTCTCAAGTCAGTAACATTTTGATTAGCCTAGAGCCTGTGTCCTGCTAATCCCCGGCTTTGACTTGATTTTAAGGGACCCTATCTCAAGAGAATTTGTAAAACAGTTATATAAAAGCTGAAACCTCAAAATCCCAACTCTGAAAAGGCATAAACAATTTAGCTCCGATTCTGTGACATTCAAGAGGGTATTAAATGCTACAGTAGTGAAGGTATTAAAGTGCTAAGATGCTATTTAAAAAATATAGACTATGCCGTTGCAGTTATTTTGTGGTGTGAAAACAAGGATTGCTTCTATCAGCGAGAGAACAGGCATGTATATACACTACATCCCCAGATCTTGCCGGATTCCCCTACTCTTGCATTGTTTTGTAACATGACCATTATCCATCCCTCTCTTATCCTATGTACCTAGGCTAGCAGCATTTCAGTCATGGGTAAAATGATTAGTGTATGTGCATAGATTTTAACGCATTAAAATTCATCAGACTAGTATAGAAATGTAAGACGAGAATTATTTCTCTAACAGATGTTCACAGATTTTGGGGGTTGTCCATGGATTTTAAGTACCATCTTCCTGCTTGCTTTGTGTCTAGAGGGGTAGGGTAACTACATTCATTTTATCCTCCTAGCCTCTGCCAAGGAAACAATTCAGAGGAAAATCTGAGAGGGCTTCAAATAGTCAATGGAAAATACTGTAGGTTTGGGTCTTTCTTTGGTACCTTTTAATTTCTGTGAGCAATACTTTAATTTTTTCCCACAGATGTGCTTTGCAAATTCTTAATGGCCCTTCTGCATATGGAATTTTTAATAATTCTTATCAGAATGGGATATTTGGTGATTCAGTGATGTAGAAAATATAAACTTTGGAGTGGGAGTGCAACAATCTCAGTTTACTCCTATTTGTCGTCTTTTAAATATTTTTAGGTATTTACAACATTACAGTAGAATAGCATACCTAAAAATTGTAGGAGTTTGGAATGTTCAGTAACTATTTAGATCATAAGTTTGTATTGATCTCTTAATATAAAAAGTATTTTAACACAATAGTTATTAACACAATGCATTAATCACGTTTCATTAACTTGAAGCCTAGTGGTGTGTATATGTTCTTTTATAGGGGGTTTTTTCAATAATTTTTGGTGAATGTATCTTTAAATGCCAAGATGATGTTTTTCAAAAAATAAAAGTGTAGGATAATTAATACAGGTTGTCATAATTCTGAGTGCAATTTTGGTTACTTATTTAGTTTATTAAATATCTTGACTCTCAAATTCTGGTTTGGATGTTTAATCAATATAGAAATACGTAGATACAAGCAAATATTCTGATCATATCTTGTCAGCAGTCATTGGTGGTATTATCTTCCCCAAAAGTTGTTTGCTTTTGTTGTTTCTAATTTTCATGCAGTGCACTTAAGGTTATATGTATTTTATGTACACATTGGTAAATGATACTAGTTTTCAAGTTACACTGTAATTCTTTTTTCATATGTTTGTTTTAACTTGGGGTGGGGTGGAAATGGGAGTGCCAAGCCTACTATACATTGCATACACTCAGGAGTGGAGCCCGATGTTCTATTCCCTTTTATTTTTAAATTTGTAGGTTGGAGCTTTGCAAGCTCTTATAGATAGCTCTCCTAATACATGTTTTTCCTAACCTGAAACTCTTGTGTAGTTTCTGATCACTTCTTTGTAAATAAAGATCCTGTGTCATTCTAAATAGTGTATATATACCCAGTGGTTTAGTCTAATATCTACCAGGGACTAGGATGAAACCATTATATTGATTTATTTATGTTCTAAAAAATAACTTGTCAAATCGAGTATAATACACTAGTCAGACTTCTGTTGTATTGGAATGGAAATCTCTTTATTCTCATTGGCAGTGGTGTTGCCCTGAGACTACTTGGTAGCTATGTAACAGTGTACTAAGACTTGACAATGCATAATACTTCTAGTATGTTATTTAATGCATAGTCCTCTTTATTGTAGAAAAAGCTGCAGCAGCCAATGAAGATGAAGTACAAAAAGCAGATGTATCATCTACAGGTCAGAGTGTCATTGACAAGGATGCACTTGGACCAATGATGCTTGAGGTAATGGGCACAATTTCCATTGTACTGTATTTGAATTAATTTTGCTACCTATAATAACAAAATGAGTGTCTTGGAATGAAAAAAGCAAAGTGGGGCTGACTCTGAAATGAATGGTCAAGTAGTATGGTTTTAATAAATGCCATCATGGTGTTATTATGCTGTTTCCCATAGGTTATTGCTTGTTATTCCCATAGGTTACTGGGGGGTGAGGGGAATAAACACCTCTTGTTTATTCCAAGAGCAGTAAGATTAGAATAGCATTGATTATATATTTAATTGCTGGAATTTTTCATAGTATTTATGTTTCAGCTTTTTAGGAAATGTCTTTATTTCTGCGTGTTTATATGTACGTAGTTTATACACTGTGAAACCTGAGAGATTTGGAGCACTCAGATGTATACTAGTATTGATTTATGCATGTACACCGTGTAGGAGTGCATCCTCTTAAACTGTACATCATTGCCACAGTCTTAATAACTTTTGCCATTACATTATAGGGAGTATGATTATTTTCCCTGCAGAATGCTAAACAAATCACTTGTGAGAATTCTTCAGGATAAAACTTTTGGTTAGCTTAGCATGGTTAAAAGCTCTAGCTCTTAAAATGAGCCATTGATATCATTGTTATGTATTGTGTAGATGCATCATCTGGGATGCTAATATATTATGTTACCATCGCATACTCTCTGTGGCACTGATATTTTATCTGTTAGCTCTGTTGCAAACAGTTAATACCCATTCTGACTGTAGACTTTATCTCTAAGGATAGATAAACATTGGTTTAGGTAAAACAAAAAAAGAGTTCTGAGTCCAGCTGGAGGAGCCAAGTTTGACAGATCTAAATTATGCTATTATTCCCAAAACATAGCAGGAGCCTGGCTATAAACTGTTATAACTATACCAATTGTATATATTTGAACTGCTTTCCATGATTCATTAGATAAAAACACAAACAGTTGATATTGTTCTTTGCACTGCACATGGATAAATGCCCTAAAAATACTCCAAAACTAAAAAGGTTAGAACTATTTGTTCATCAGAGTTGTCCTTTGGAAAGCTAGTTCATTAATTTAATTAAATAAACACTATAATTAATATTTATTAAACATGCTCACTGAACTGAATGTTGGGGGGGTTGCTAACTATTGGAGTTAAGCCTCATAACTCTTATATTGTTGGATAAAATTCTAATCTCGTATATCTGTTAATTTGATTATAAGAATCTGTCTTAATCACATGGATTTAAAAAAAAAGAAATTATGCTAAAAAGACATTAAGACTAAAAAAACTACCTTCTCCTATTGTGTGTAAATTGTAATAAATATGGTAGGTAAAATACCTGCTTATTAGCCAACCATTAATTTATTAAGGTTTAGTTTCTTTTCTCCTCTACTTCAAAATATGTTTTGTTCAAGCCCTTGTGCAACAGACATATAAAAGATTGCACAGTTGTTAAGCATTCACTGTGTAAAGACTACAGATATAGTCTGTGCTTCTGTGTAAGGAAATATGATTTGGTCTTTTCCATCTCTTTATGTACCTCAGTCTTGATACGTCCACATTTTTTTCTTTTGCCAAGTAAGGAAAATAATGGATGTACCAGTGGACTTGGTGCTAGTTACTCTATTTTTTTTTAGGAACTTTATTATCTGTATCTAGTAAAGAATATAATTTAGATGTCCTCGTGTTTTCCTGTTGAAGAAAGTGAGTCGAGTTCATAATAATCACTGGTTTTGGTGGGACATTTCAGCCAGATACAGATGTTACACTTTTACCTGTGTAGGTGATCAGAAACCAGTCGGTACCCATAATAGAACTGAAGTTTGGCACGCGTAGACTAGTTTAAAAATGGTGGAACCCAGTCTAAGATATGCCCCCACCACCAAGGGGCAAATGTGTGTTCTGTTCACCGCTGGTCTAAACTACGCCACTTAGAGAAAACGGTGTAACTTAGGTTGATTCTGCCTTTGGCTTTCTTTAATGTCTGTACCTAGCCTTCCTGTCTAAATGTGAAGAAGACAGAGAGACAGTAATGAACAGAAACTCAGAACCCAACTTTCTCTGTTCCATTGTGTCCTCTGAAAGAAGTTCTGTTCTTTTTTTCTCCCCTCTGATTACATTGTCTCTAGCAATGACAGAGGGGAGAAGTTGTCAGAGCTATGCCCCTGAAGGAAGGGATGTTGGTTTTCATTATTGTTTCAGCTGTCTGTCCTGTTGGAATACATCTGGAGAAACAATAAGAAATGAGTAGTACCAAAGTGGAAGCCTCAGTAAATTTTAAATGGCTTGATCCATAAGTTGGCTTGACAGCTTACTGGTTGCTGTAAAGGGCAGCTGAATGTGCCTTTTGCTTCAGAACAGTAGGAGATTGGGGTGCTGCAAATAGGACATGCTCAGTTCCTGCACTCCTACCAGCCTCTAACGACTCTCTTGGTCAACTCCAAAAGCTCTGAAGAAGTTGCCTCTAGCAGTCCTTTGCCAAGAAAGCAACTACAATAGGAAGCTTTTGGTTGTGGAAGATATAGCAGAAAAAACTGCTGAAAGTCATTAAAGCACCGATCAACTTGAGACACCTACCTGACATGTGAAAAATCTGCCTTATGTAGCATGAACATAAGTGCATGAGGACATTCTTCCACACCAATGATGTCAACAAATGATTTGCTGTTAGGATTCAAGTCTGAATAAATTAAAACTTGTAATAGATATAGGTTATAAATTAAGTGGTCAACTTCTAAAAAAGGAAATAAAATGGAGGCAAATGTTCACAAACAGCAAAAAAACTATAAAGAAACAGGAAAAAAGCAACAGAAATATTTCTTTTTTTAAAAAAAGTGAGGCTTAAATTGTGACAGTTGACAAAACAAAAGTGGATCTGAAGTATTTCAGTGCTGAAAAAGGTAGAGGCAATTTATGTGTATGTATAAATGGGTACATATATTTTTATAATTTAAAAATTGCCAGTGATTAATTTGAGAACTCAGTTGTTATGCTGTGCTTTCTTTTACCCTCCTTATTTCTGTTTTTCCAGTTTTTTTATATTTTAAGCTGTCTCTGTGCAATCTCAAACATATATTTTGAATATTTTATAGTCTAAATAAAATATTTTTTCCTTTAATGTCCTATAAGATTCAATATTGGATTATGTAGATGTATTATGGATCTGCTAGCAGCTCAGTGGTATGCAGTATTTTTAATGTGTTTCTACAGTCTGAGTGGACTAAATGTGCATATTAGGGAGCCCATGGGTCCTGTATTATATAGGCTGAACCATGTGAAAAAAGCACCCATGGGTTTCATATATAGTATTTGGTATAACAGTGCTCCTAAGAACTAGTTTGTAGCATACTTTAGACAGGTAGATAATTAGTCTGGATTCCTGAAAAAGTCATGGGTAACCATTATGTTCTATCAACAGTGTGCTTTTTTCTTTACTATAGGCATAACATTTGCACTTCCAAATCAAAATGCAAACTAACTAGTTTTTTGATGATTTTCATACACTGTTCTGAAAAGGTTAATAAATCAGGCAAAGTGGGAAAAGTTCTGTTAGCTGATAATAGAATGCTTGGACCCAGTAGCTGTGATACTTTCAATTTTAAACCTGCATCCCTTATCTGTGTGTTATAAAAATTAAACAGAGAGGCTTTGAGTTATTCCTAGGCACTTATGCAGTATTATGTTTGCATCTTAAGACCAAATACCGCTGGGAAACAACACCGTGATTTTATTTTTTCATGGGAATCTCTTGTGGAGACATGTTTTTCCTGATGGGGAGAAACAAAACATAATATTTGGCATATGTTTCAAAAGGTGGATAGGAGATAGTTTTTTAAAAAGTCCTATAATTCAGCTGTCACAAATTATAAAGATAAAGAAATTCAGTGCACGGTAGACTTTAAGATGCTTTCTTCTTCTGACTTTAAGTACTGACTTCATACTAGCCTACTATTAATATGAAATCTACATCTCTGACAATAGTATTATACTTTGAATAGGATTTGATTATATAAAATTTCTTATTCTTTTCACATTTTATTATGAAGACAAGGGCTTGGGGGGGTGGCAGGAACAGGAACAGTGAAGACATCTGTCCTTCAAAGAAGAGTATTGTTTTCTATGTGTGTTTTATTAATCTGAGTATGGCTTTTCTCTCTATTCTAGGCCCTAGATGGGTTCTTCTTTGTAGTGAACCTGGAAGGCAATGTTGTGTTTGTTTCTGAGAATGTGACACAGTACCTAAGGTACAACCAAGAAGAGCTGATGAACACAAGTGTGTACAGCATCCTGCATGTAGGGGACCACAATGAATTTGTCAGAAATCTGCTGCCAAAATCTTTAGGTACATTGAATTCCCTCAAAAAAAAAAAATACCATTGCTTATTTGCATATAACTTTGGTTTCTTAAGTTAATGTTTTAATTACTTCAGCAGATATCACCCCATTACTTAAATCTTTGTCATATGCACTGTATTTACTGTCAGTATATCTAATGGCTATGTGATAATTGATTGTTTCTGAAATACATCCTCCTTTTGTCTCTTCATTTTGGTTTAGCTTTTGTTCAAAGTTGCTCATAGCAACTGGCACATGTGATTGACATTATTATAAGCTCTTTAGAGTGAATCTTTATATTCCCTGTGAGTTCTCCTTCCTCCCACATCTAGTCTGGATATTGTAAGAAATTATACATAATATAAAAGGAGAAAGGACTTTTTTTCCATAGGACAGACTGTCGTGTTAGAAATTTCATTTTGTTATTTTTTTCCCCAAGTGTTTATCCCATTCTTTTAAACAAAAATAAAGCAATTGTATTAGTTGCACCTCTGTTATAGTCATACTTTATTTCTTCTAATGTTATCTTTTTAATTTTTTGATCAAACCTGTTAAAGAAGAAAAAATGTTACATTTTCGAATGGCTAAGAAATACAAGTTACTGCATTGTTCATGTCTGCCTTTTCTTTGCCTTCTCTGTGTATTTATTACCCATTATAAAGGGTTGAGCAGGATTATACATGCTATTTTATTATGGCCTCATTAGTGCTTTATGCAGTGTTACAGTAATTTACTCTGATTTATACCCTGTATCTGTATGCATCCTAGGCTTTTGTTTCCTTTGGTTTTACTTGTCTTAAGTACTCTGGACAGGGCTAGTTTTATTATCCTCTTCCTGTAGTCTTTTGTGTTGTAGCTTAAGATATTTGTTTTATTTTGGCTTGCCCTGCATTTATGTTTTCATCAAGTTAACTTTTTCTCTAATCATGTCCCTAATCTGTCCAAGCTCTTAGTGAATAATATTTTCAATATTATTTATTTTCTATTATAATAGCCAACTGTTTCCAGACTTAAATGGGCTAACATTGCCATACTGCACATTCTTTTTTCCAGGCCTTAGCATAGAAGACCTGGAAATATGATAAATTAACTTAATTTGATTTACATTGGTTTTGTACATGGCTGCAACGCAGAAAGGACAGATGACCAGTTACCTTGGCGTAGCTGCTGCAGAGTAGGTGGCTTACCACTAGGTGGCAGGAATGATGGGAATAGCCTGTTTTCTTTGAGCGGTTCCAGGATAACTGTGGGCATGTGACGCATCTGAAATATTTTCAAATCTGTTTTGTCCTGGGGTAGCTCCACATCAGATTCTAGTAAGTTGCCAGAATTGGGATCTGCACTATGTGTAAACTCCTTTTCCCTCCCACATTAGTATAAAGATGGTTTACACCGGGGTAAATGTGTCCTCTATTCCAGCTCCTCTAGTTGGAATTGGGAGAAGTATCAGTGAGAGGATCGATTATTATGCTCTATCACTTTGTTTGGTAATTAGGACTCTGCACTGCTATACTGCTATTCTAATCAAGATGCCTAATCAAGTAAAAGACAAGGCAGCTGAACTAGAGATTGTCATTCAGTTTAAATTATGAGAATTTTTTCTAAATTACTTTCCACAAGCCAGCTCATGTTCTTATATCAAAATTGTACTACATACTAAATGACATTATAAATAAAGTACCATAATTAATTTTAGGTTTAAACTGTGCTTGGAATGAACACCTCTGAGAATAACCTTACACTGTATTTTTTACTTTACTCAGTGAATGGGGGACCTTGGTCTGGTGAAGCTGCTAGGCGCAACAGTCATACCTTTAATTGTCGGATGCTGGTAAAACCTTCAACTGATTCTGAAGAAGGCCATGATAACCAGGAAGCACATCAAAAATATGAAACTATGCAGTGCTTTGCTGTTTCTCAACCAAAGTCCATCAAGGAGGACGGTGAAGGTAAAGTGAGAATACCTACTAGACTTGCTCACTTCTGTGGCGTTCTAATTTTCTTCTTCCAGTACCAATCCAAATACTTGTGAGCTGAGTTGCATGGAAATCAAGATACAGTAGTTTCAGAGCAGTGGAGAGACTTTTTCCCCTCTTTCATTTGTGAGTTTTCATTCTTTCATTAAGCTGGGTGAGGGTTTTTTCCTCTTAATTTGTGCATGTGTGTGTGGTACACCAGCCTTCACACAACTTATTCAGGTACATTGGTATAAATTAGGAGTGACTTTATATGTCAGTTTGCTCACTCTGGATTTATGCCAGCATAACTATAAGAAAAATGTGGCCCAGTGGTAACAGAATTTCATGTGGCAACTTCCAAGTTATCAGAACATGAAAACTGTTGTGGTTTACCATTTCCTTTGCCACTTACTTCTTCACTAGTTAAATTTTCTCATATGCAGTTTAAGCTCTCAGATCACTCAAAAAGCATTTACTATGAAATTTCCTCCTCAAGAAGGGCAAGTACTTTAGATACATTTTGAAGGAATGCAGTTCAGAAATTAAAATGTAAGAATTGTGCTATTTACTCATGCAATATGTTGTTTTCTATTAATTATCTGAAAAGCTGTTGAGCTGCAGATATATGCATAAACATGGAAAAATATGCAAATAAATGCAGCAATTTATTTGCATGTGCCACCTGTTATGGACCATGGTCTTCTGTCTTTTAAATGAAAGAATTAAGAAAATGTCCATAAATACCCTGATATGGGGCTGGTATAAAGTAATACAACAGAATCCTCCCAGAGATTTTCTTGACAAAAAAAATCCCTCCCCCTGGACTTTTAGTTTAATTGAAGACCAGTGTAAGCCCTGTCAGTGCTATCCATCTCTGCTTTGATGAGTACTTACACATGGAGCTGAATCCAAAATGAAATGCAAGCAGAGGTGAGAGGTGTAGCATGGCAACTCTGCACCTGGGGCATCCATGAATTGTGGGGCAGTGCTGGCTGCAATGCTATGGCTATTTCTGAGCTCGCCCCACAAAGGTAGTGCTCATGGTTCCTGCCCTGGTCAGCCTCCCTCAGTCATGCAACTGCATGCAAAACTTAACTATTCTATTTTGTTCCTTAAAAACATGTTTGCCTGCTCAGCTTCCCTACTTCCAAAGTTTCTGACATATTACTGTTTCGTTTAAGATTTGCAGTCATGCTTGATTTGTGTGGCAAGAAGAGTCCCAGTGAAGGAAAGGCCACTTCCCTCATCAGAGAATTTTACTACTCGCCAAGACCTACAAGGTATCATGAAAACAAAACTTCTCTCTCTCAATTTGCTGTTTTCCATGGGTTTTTTAAAAAAGAGAAAATAACTGTAATGTTGCTTTTGTTTAATGCAGGTAAGATAACATCACTGGACACTAGCACCATGAGAGCAGCCATGAAGCCTGGCTGGGAGGATTTGGTGAGAAGGTGCATTCAAAGATTCCATGCACAGCATGAGGGAGAGATATCATTTGCCAAAAGGCATCACCAAGAAGGTTTGATTTTCTAATTTTAATATTTTTTAATCTTTGAACTCTTTGTTGGTTTATCCATTGGTCATGCTCTGTTTACATAATGTCCACATGGGCTAAGCAAGGGCTATTGAAGACCCCTCTATCTAAAGCCAATATCCCCAGTGAACAGTATACTTTTCTCTAGTTGGATTGTGCATCACTTTCCTTTTTCTCATTCTTACCATGCTTGTTGCTGCTCTATGATAAATTAAGTGGGTGCCTTATGGCATGCTCATCAGTCACTTGCTTTTATATCTTCAAACCTTTGTGATGTTATTAGTGAGAAGGTGGGCTACGACTTCCTTGTTTACAGAAAGCTTTTACTACAGCATTGTCCAGTTCATTGAAACAATTCAAGATGTTTATTTCACTTCTCTCCAAAAAAAAAAATACTCTTGCACTCTTGGTTCACTGTGATTTACTGAAGCTTCAGCACCGATGTCTAGTGAAAGCTGTGTGACAGTGAGGGTAGACCATCATCTAGTGGAAAATAACATTAGAATATCCACAAAGTCAAGAACATAGACAATAAGGAAGGTAGGATGCAGGATAGTGTAGTGCAGTGGAAAGGCTCTTAATGGAATTCATGGCAGAGGCTAGGGCTTGGGGTACTTTTTCTCCTAGGTACCATCTATGCAGATTCTAATCACAGGTCAGAATCAGGTTACTTGTGTTAGTAGTTCTTTATTCCACAAGTATTCCTGTTGAAACACAATTTCCAGTAAAATTTATAGCCAACATTTAAGTTAAAATGAATGTCTGAAGTGTCTCCTTTGCAAGGAGAGACTCCTTGCAGGAGAAAGATGCTACTAAGCGTGTACCAACTCCCATTTCCTTTGTACTTTACAAAAGGAAACCCCATGTCAACTGCTTTAAGGTTTTTGCTGTGATTTGCGTACCGAAGTGAAACAAGGGACATCTAAAGTCAATCCTGCACAGGTATAACTTCTGGCCAGGCTCAACAAAAGAGCTGTATGTTCAGTATCTCAGTTGCAAGCCTTGCAAACTGATCTTGATGCCAAATGCAAAGTATGGCCGGTTTGGTTAAAATGGACCTCTTTTGTATTGGCTGCAATGGGGAAAAAAGCATTTCCTGAAGAGGAATACAGAAAGTTTCTTGTTAGTTTAAAGAATTACTAAAAAAAAAAAATAATCTAAGTAGAGATTTCACTTTTATCTTACTGGCATGGAGTGCTCAAACTTCTTGGTGTGATATATGCTAAGGCTAGTACTGTGGACCTTCTGCTACCCAAAGAGTATCCTGAAACAAGGGCATATGTTAAAGTCAAATTCTGCTTTGTGTTGTTTTGTAGATCTAGGTTTTTATCGTGTTGTTCTTACGCCTGTATATTTTTACTCTACACAAACTCTGGTTGTTTAACTTGTGTGTCCAATTTTCTCATTGCCTAAAAAATGCTGTAAAATAGGGGTAGGCAATAACTTTGGCTGGAGGGCTGCTTACTGAGTTCTGGCAAGCCATTAAGGGCCACATGGGTAGCCCCGCACTCTGACAGATGCCCCACCCCGTGGTCGCCATCATGTGACTGGAAGTCCTGTCCCCTAACCCTTGACCTTTGCTACCAGAAGCCCCTCCCCTTGCCCCCCAGAAGTACTGCTTTCAGCAAGGGGTTTTGCCATCTCAGAACCATAACAATTCCAAATTATATTCTAAAAATCAAACATCTACAACATTCATTAATTTGATTTCAAAATATATTTTTGTCCTTGTTTACATATGTTTCTGTAGGGTACACAGAGGTGATTTGTATCTAATAGCATAAAATGAAGTCTTACTTGTATTTTGGGGAGTGGGTATAGGTTTGTGGGGGGCTGTGGGTGTGTGGGTATGTGGGGTCTGGGGAAGGATGTGAGTGTGTCTGTAGGGGGTGGATAGATGTGGGGAGTGTGAGATGAGGGAGCATGTGGGGTGTGAGTGGGTATGGGGTTTGTGGAGAGCTGTGTGTGGGGAGAGGGTGGCTGGGGTGTGTGGGGGGGTGTAGGGGTCTCTGTGTGTGGCA